GAAGTTTGCGCAGCCAGGCGCAGCTTACGAGCGACTCAGCTGGCCACTGTTCCATGTCTGCATTGAGCGTTGTGTGATCCTGGATCTCCTCAGCGCAGGCTTCGCTGTCCCAGAATCTGTAAGTGGTGCGCAGACGCAGCTCCGAGTCCAAACTGGGTAGGATATTGTGCATCAGGCGATTTGATGCGTTGATGGAGCCAACTGTAGAGTTCAGTTTGCCAAAGACAGGATCCTGCAACGGCGCCGTATCCAGACGGCTATTTAGAGTGTCCTTATTCTTCGTCACGGTGGACACATTTTTCTTTTGCCTTTTCGGCTTGGAAGGTGCTTGATTTTGGGCCTGCTCCCCTCCATCTTGCCCACCGCCAGCCGCCTGTTCGCCCTGGGGGCCATCATCATCCTCGGCTGCGTTTATTTGCTTATCCGTGAGAGTGCGGGCACTTAAACCAGCTGAAATGCGCATGGCATCCAGGTAGATGGAGTCCACACGCAGTCCGTAAACCTTGGAAGAGGCCTCCAGCGAGGAGCCCGCTATCTGGAGAGGAATTAAAGGTTTTAATTGTGGTTTCTTACATACATTTTGATGAAGGTAAACCCACCTTGAAGTTGCTCATCCGCTTGTGATGGTGGTCCAGCAGATTGGCCAGCGAATCGATGAGCGTAAGGCTCCAGGCATTGTCCTTGCTTAGTTTGTTGCCATTGTAGATCTCCAGGCAATTGCGGATGGTCTCGTTGTCCTCGATGGACTCCAGAGTGCTTTGGCGATGCTGCTGGAGGAGCGTGCGGCGGCGGGCTTCCCGCCTTTCCGCCTCATCGTCGTTCTGTGGGGTCATCATGCGGGACATGCCCTCGTGGTAACTGCCCACCGCGGAACGACGGAGCGGAGTATCCAAACGCGGAAGGGTCATCTTTTATAGACAAAATGGGAAATAACTAATTTCGGAACTGCTAGCCAGGCGATATTAATGTTTGCCGGAGGCGGGAGATTCTGGGCAACTGAGTTGGTCGACACAAAAAGGCACTGGGTTTTCTATGGCAGGCAGGCAGCTTTAGTTTCCAATTTGTCAGTTTGCGGCCAAAGTTTGTTTGTGATTTGTTGATTGTATTTTTCTATTTCTTATTCTGCGCTGGTATTAGTACTAGTTTACAGTTTCTTTCAAACGACGCCGCAATTTAGGGCTGCATAACGACTGTAATTTCAGTGCTGCAAAACATTAAAATGATGGCGAGTTGGCTGAAAAACAGAGGCAGGGTAGTAGCCAAAACATTAGCTATTATCATAATTAGAGAGTAAACATATTATATTTTTAGAAATAGCAAAAAAAACAAGAAGTCGTATAGAAATAAAACTCCCAAAGATCAATATGGATTTAATACTTTGCCATAAATAATTAAATTCAATATCTAAATATATTTGAAAATCAGGGCTGCACAAACTCTGGAAATTGAGTTGCTGGAACTAGAAACTAAAGAAATCAGGGCTGGAGGCTTTCAACATACGTTAAGTTTCAAATGTATTAGTCAAAAGTATGTTTTTAAAACACAAATCCAATATATCAACGTGAAGCAACAAAATAATTGGTTTATGCGGATAAAGAAATATAACAAATCCACTTAAGTGTTCCACGGCACTCTGAATTCTTGTAGTCTTTCTCGTTTTTAAATAATATTTATTTTTGAAGTACCTGGTATGTTTTCAAACACTTCAACCAGCTGCTGACATAAATGTCGAAAAAAAAATAATAAAAGAAAAGCAAATCCTTAAAACGATATTCGCGGGCATTTGGCAACACTGTTGGCGCTGTTGAGCACTGCATCCCTGGAAGGCGGCAACTCTACACACACAGTCGCAAAACTTTGAGTCCGTCGCGCAGTTCACATCCATGTCGTGGTTTTTGTTACTTTTCGTTGTTTTCGTCTGAGAAACTTAAAATAATCCTTTGCCAGCGCTGTGCGATCAGCTCGATGTATTCGAATAGCGTGAAGTTAACGCTCAACAGGCCTTAATTCAATAAGATAATTAGCTTCACCGTCGTTCACATATTGTGTGTGTGTGTTTGCCTGAGCCTGTGTGGTGGTCGGAATAACTGGACATTCCGAATTTGCGCAGTTTCGGCGAAACTTAACGGGCTTCCAATTTCGAACTACGGAATTACGGAGTTTTGCGACGTAAGGGAATATAGGCAAATACGGAATAGACATGGCACGCGACACTCAAGGAACCCAGGGAACCCAAAGTCAGGCCTCCAATATCTGGACCCAAGTGGAAAGCCAGCCGATGGAGAAAATCGTCTGGGGACGATTGTACGGCAAAAATATTAAAATCAAATCGCTGGGTACGAGCTCAAAATACCGAATTCTTTATACGCATTCGTCCTTTTCTGTTGGTAACCGAATTTCCTGCCTGTTATGTGTTTTAAATTCTTTACCCAATGCATTTTTAATAATGTTGTTTCTTATCTTGAACGGATTTTAGATCTCAACAATGACGAGTTCAGCGCAGGACGAGGGGAGGCCAACGATTTGATTCTCACACTTAACGATTTGCCCGAAAAAATCCTGACGCGCATTTCCAAAGTGCATTTTATAATCAAGCGGGCAAATTGCGAGCTTACCAATCCAGTATACATACAGGTATTTGGGGGATCTTAAACTTGAATCAAGGATATATCATAACCTTATTAAGTTGATCAAACTTAACATATCTTTTTAAAATATAACAAAAAACGACCGTTTATCAATTAACGTACCTATTTCTTAACTGTAAACTAGACTATTAAATGTTTAAAAAATACATATATCTAGTTGTGTGTAAAAACAAAGTTTTTCTGATTTTTATTAATGTCTTTTATTTTTAAATTTTAATACTTTAGTCCGAATTTAAATAATAATTCAAAATAATGTAAATTATGCGAAAATCTGAATCCGCTACTTTAATTTGTCAAATTTTTTCTACCCTTACACGCCCATTTTGTCCTGATTTAAAAAGGGAAATCCCTAAACGTAACAACCTTTGTATCCACCCATTTCCCAGGATCTCTCACGCAACGGTACCTTTGTGAATAATGAAAAAATTGGAACAAACAAGATGCGAATCTTGAAGAACGACGATGTCATTTCCCTGTCCCACCCCACGTACAAAGGTAAGCGATCGTCAAACAGGTATAAAAACCTGCAGAGATTCTCGTGTAATTCAATGTTTTGCACCTGCCTCCGTTGTAGCCTTTGTATTCAAGGATCTCAGCCCGAACGAGTCGATCGGCCTGCCTGAGGAGATTAACAAGACTTATTATGTTAACAAAAAGTTGGGATCTGGAGCTTATGGCTTGGTCCGTCTTGTGTACGATACCCGCACATGCCAGCAATATGCAATGAAGATCGTGAAGAAGAATATGCTGTCGGGCAGTGCGCGACCCAGTACAAATTTCAGCGATCCCGACCGGGTGCTAAATGAGGCAAAGATCATGAAGAATCTGTCCCATCCGTGCGTGGTTCGCATGCATGACATCGTGGACAAACCGGACTCGGTCTACATGGTGCTGGAGTTTATGCGGGGCGGTGACTTACTCAACCGGATCATCAACAACAAGCTGCTGAGCGAGGAGACTTCAAAGCTTTACTTTTACCAAATGTGCCATGCCGTAAAGTACCTTCATGATCGGGGTAAAACTATTTGTAACTATTTTCTTTCGATGGGCAAAGTTCTAAATGATTTTTCATTTGTTAGGTATCACCCATCGCGACTTGAAACCTGATAATGTGTTGCTTGAGACCAACGACGAGGATACCCTGCTGAAGGTCTCCGATTTCGGGCTGAGCAAGTTTGTGCAGAAGGATTCGGTGATGCGGACGCTCTGCGGCACTCCACTGTATGTGGCCCCTGAGGTGCTAATAACCGGCGGCCGGGAAGCCTACACCAAAAAAGTAGACATCTGGAGCTTGGGCGTGGTGCTCTTTACTTGGTAAGGATATATAAACTATCATTGGGAATATGAAATATTAATTTACTGATTTGTTTCAGTCTGAGTGGCACACTGCCCTTTTCAGACGAGTACGGAACTCCGGCAGCCCAGCAAATAAAGAAGGGCAGGTTTGCCTACGGACATTCCGCATGGAAGGGCGTCTCGCAGCGCGCCAAGCTGCTGATCAACCAAATGCTCATTGTGGATCCCGAAAGGCGACCCTCAATCGATGACGTTCTGCAGTGCAGTTGGCTACGGGATGCGCAAGTGCTGCAGAAGGCGAAGAAACTGATGAAGCTGGATGGCATGGAGATCGAGGAGGAGGAGAATAACTTTCTCGAACCGCCCACCAAGCGATCACGACGTTAACTTGTGCTACTTAGATTCTATCGTTAATGCCTGATGGTCGAGGCGTGAAAAGGTTTTAATTTTCTGGGAAAATTAAGCGATAACATTTTTTCCAAGTCGCCGACACCGCCGCATTCGAGTGCATAGGCTACTCAAGTATTTTTTTGCGGTTGTTTATTTTTACGTGTTGTCTAGTGTAAGTTTCATCATGCCCAAATACTCCTGTTAAACTGCATTTATTTCTGGACCTTGCATTCACAATTATTTTAAGCTTCTTATCGATCTGAAATCTGTCATTCCATTGGGATATAATTACGTTATATTTCCGGTAATTGTTAAGAAACTAAAAGTGGTATCCTTAAGAATTTAATTTGACTCTTCAACGAACCATTAAGCTTTTGAAATAAAGCAATTGAATTTGTTTAAGTAATCATTTTTATTGTGTACATGTTTTAACAATTAGGGAGACTGGAAAAGATCTATCATTTGCTATTGTTCTTGAAACATGGCAATGGATGTATTTCTGATCGGGGAAGTATATTTGTTCATGTTCGATAGAAATCCTTATAAAGTATTGAACAAAAAAAAATATGGTTTTTCATTTCCAAACAAATGTTTTAATATGACATTTTTAACATTTGTATTTTCATCGTCAAGTCAGTTAATTGTACAATTTTTTGGAAGTCCATATACGTCTATATACATTTATTAATAGTTATATATAAGTGTTGTATAAGCTAAAGTCATAGCACCTCAGTCAGGCCAAGCATAAAGAAAGCATATCATAAAAAAAAGTAAATGCAAAAAAATACTTAAGGAGAAACTGGATCCCTTAAGCACATTTCCTTATCGAATGAGTCACCATTTTCCGGCCGTGTCCGATGGTAATGAGGGTGCATTCGTCAGTCCAAACGGCATCCGTGGTGCGGGAATGGGTGTCCTGGTGCGTGTAGATGATCTCATGGCCCGCCTGAACTTTGACCACTTTCACTGAGGCAGGAAAATTGCTCGTGGCGGCCAGATGCGGCCTAAAAATATTACGATAAATAAAAATTACTACAGTTAATAACAAATCCTAAAGCAATTAACATGACTCCGAAATTCGAAAGTTATTTTTTAACTATGTAAACATATGGAAGAAACTATAACTTTTAAAATATCTTACCCATTTATTAAAAGTTGCGAGACATGTCCCTTGTCGAAGTACTCCCGAGATTCCACCAGTTTCCGTGGCACTCGGATGTCCACCGTATGAACCTTTCCATCATAGTCGCCGAGATAAATGTTATTGTCGCCCTCCAGCTCCGTGGAAGCGGCCCAGGCGGCGCAAGTGAAGCTCAGCAGATGGCTGGAGTCTGCATAGAGGCACGTGGAAGACGGAGCCGCTGCCCGGACATCCCAAAGCAGGGCACTACCGCCGCGATCACAGGTCACAAACTTATCGGCCGAAGCCGAAGGCGTGCCCAGGCCAGTCAACTTATTCGTGTGCGAGGTGCGTGAATGGTAAGAGCTCTCCAGATCGGCACCCGAAAGATCCCAGACCTGTAAGAGATAGTTTCTTATTAATTCCAATCTTTAAATCCTTATTTTCTTACATACATTAAGAGTGCCATCGGCTGAGGCGGAGACTGCCCTTCTTGGATCCGCCTTGAAGACGTTCAGTTGACTGATGGGCGTGGGATGCGCGCAGGATTCACCCACAAGAAACAGGCAGTAGGGCGCTTGCGGATTGCGCACCTTGGAGTAGGTTGACCAGGCCTGCAGGCGAGTATCTCCGAGAGCCACCAAAAGGACATTGTTTTCGGCATATCGAACCAGATTCACCGTGTGATCCGCCTGCAGCTTGAAGTCTGCGTTGTCCACGGTCATGTGGTTTATACGGCTGCGTTCGTAGCCGAAGAACATGCCCCACCAGTGGCGTCCTTCGCGTCGATTGGTGGCCAGTGCCACATGGTTGTGCTCATTGATGGCAATACTGTCCCAGCAGTCGTGGAGTCGCGGCGAAAGGTTCTCCAGCCGAGCATTCAGATCCGCAACGTTGAGATTCGGGTACTCCAGGTTCCCGGCCAGCTCCAGAGCGGGCGGTGGTTGGTGGGTCACCGGAGTGCGGTAAACCTCTGAGCTGCGTTGCGGAAACATCTTCTTTGGTACAATATTTAGGGAAAAAACAACTTTTTTGAAAAACGTCGGAAGGAACACACAGCGTGCCGGCTAGGGAGGAGTAAAGCAAAGGACAGGGCTGGCTAACGATAGTTGGCGATGGTCAGTCGCCAGGGCTTCACACACTTGAAAACATCGTTTTGCTGTTATTTTGTCTTAGAGTTCTGCACTTAAATTTGGCTTTTAAAAATATAAAACCTAACATGGAATCTATATGCTTTTTAAAATATACTTCAAAAACATATTTAAAAACTGTTTACGAATCTTTGATAACAAAGGGTTTAAGCATCGGTAATCACTGCCAAACATCGATAAGAACGATATTTTAAAAACATCGATTTTGGCATAATTGCTTTTCCACCTCTACGCAGTTGTTATTGTTTTGATTTATTACCTCGTCGGTCGTTGCGCGCTGGCACAGTTTTTAAAATAGTGCACTTCCTTGTGCGTCTCCGCAGTGCCCTAAACGTCGTATATTCTTTGTCTGTCCTGCCAAGAGCTCAACAGAGTATCCTTACATAACTGAGGATTTATTATAATTTTATTAGAGCAACGAGGATACTAAAACCAATTAACTAAGACACGCAAGTGCTGGCACACTGCGCTATTATGCAAATTGCAGGCGAAACAACAACAACAACAACATTGCAGCTGGCCTAAGAAAAGAGAAGCAAATGCAAAAAGTGACTTGGCAAACCAAGAAAACCATCCAAACCCATAATAAACCAGCTGTGATTGTGATCTTTGCTTTCGGTTCTCCATACAGTGGGTGGTGAAATGGGCGGCGGGATGGGGGGCGGTGGGCTGCTGGACATTTACGCCATGGCCTGGGAGCATCTGAGACCCGGAAGTTCGCCCGTCGATTGGTGCGAGGGCAATTATTTGATTTCGTCCAATATCGCCGAGTTCGTGAACACGGTGCGTATGTGCAATTTATTTTAATATATTCAGCGCTTCGCTCTAGTTAGTTAGCCTTGTTGTTGTTGTCGTCACACACAAGCACACAATTTTTTCCTTTTTATGTTAGGCCTTGACCTTTTTAGAGCGAGACCAACTGAATGTAAACAAAAGATGCTGTTAGCCACACTTCGTTTGCGAGAGGGAGATGAGGCGATATGGCAAATTCGCAGTGCGGCACTGCAGTTTTCTTATCGTAGTTAACCCCTGATGTAAATGGTACCGTTATACCTGAACCGATCGATACGAAACTTGGTATGCGTGTGGGAATTAGAAAAACATAGGTCGGTAATTAAATAGCAGAATTATAAAAATTTTTAACGATTGAAAAACATACATACAAATTACCTACATATATTTATAAAATATTTCTAATTCTACTTACATTCCTCGACATTGTGTTTCATTAAGAAAGCGATTTTTGCGGTTCCAACAAGGGGAACCCGTTAAAAATGACGGGTATTGATTGCAATTCTCATTAAAACAAGCTTTCCAACAAACGTAACTTGATATGTGACGGACTCACTTTCATTATGTCTTATCAATGGTAATCGGCTTATGTTTACCTTAAACAGAAACGCAGTTTTAATAAACAAACAACTACGGAAAATGTGGATCAAAACAATGACGCTACTACAACTTTGCTTATCTTATATAGCCTAACAAATATTAATAAAATATTTTTATAATGTTTAATACTTTATTAAACCGATTTAAATGTTTTCACCCCCCTAGAAGAACAATTTTAATCTCATTTCCAAAAGGTTATCAGACCGCCTTATTTTACGTTTCATTGACAACAATGCATACTGATGTCGTAACACTCATAACACTCACGATTCAAACAGAACGCATTATCATCATTTCCTTGGCTATTCGGTCAATGGGAATAGAAAAGCCTTAAATAATTATGTAGAACAGCCATTCAAATGATTGGTGATACACCGGGGATTGACTTCCGCCTGCAAACGATAATGAAAATGGTCAACTTTTAATTGATTTTGTCGTCATGAGTAATTCTCTGTGAAGTGCAAGTCGTTTAAAACGCATTTGGCTTTGTTTTATTTGAGTTTACTCAACAAAAAGTTGTGCAAATGGAGTGAATGACCTCCGATCTTAACACTCCGCTACACAATAAAGAAGCGGCACTTGTGTTGAAATCAAAGCGAGACTTTGCTATGTAATATATGTATGAACATACGACTCAGTCGTAAATATCTTTATAAATGGGAAATAAGAGTAATGGCTTGTGTGGCCTAACCCATTTCCTTATCAATTGCTTTAATAGAATACAAATATGGAAATGTTGTTCCATCACCCTTTTTAATGTGATAATTGCTCCACTTCTCGCTTTGCTGCCCACACAAAATAATTGCATTTAATTCAATTTGCTTAGAAATTTACGTGACAGAGTGATAATTGTTGCAGTGACACGTAAAAAATGGAAAACAAACATAATTTATTAATAATAATGCCAACCCAAAGACAAATGGATACGGTTTTTAGATATACACAATGAAAAAAAAACAGATATATATATATAATTGTTTAAATAATTTCTATATTACAGTTTAGCAATTTTTTGTTTATACTCCTTCCGCCCGTGCTGATAATGCTGTTCAAGGAGTACGGACGCTTCGTAACGCCCGGAATCCATGTGATCTGGGTGCTGCTCATTATAGTGGGCCTAAGTTCAATGTATTTCCACGCTACGCTCAGCTTAATAGGACAACTGCTCGATGAACTGGCGATCCTGTGGGTTTTCATGGCCGCATTTTCACTATTCTACCCAAAGCGTTATTATCCCAAGTTTGTGAAAAACGATCGGTGGGTGCAGAGTGAATATATATATATGATATATGATATATTGAGTACGTACCAGCCTATCTAATTTCCCGACTTTCGGTTTCCTTTGTTTTTCAGCAAAACCTTCAGTTGGCTCATGCTGTTGTCGGCGATCGCGGCAACGGGCTTGTCGTGGTGGAAGCCCATTGTTAATGCCTTTGTTCTTATGTTCATGAGTATACCGACCATGATAATGCTCTACACGGAGCTACAGAGGTGAGTTTGTCGTACCAACACTCTATAACTCAGAAATTCGTGGGTCTTAGTGATAAGCGTCGAGTCTGATTTCCCGCTTGGTGACCCGAAATGAACTAAGTCCATAAATCATGTATCTATCATCACTCATCCTTATTATCGTGGGTGTGTGTGTGTGTTAGCGATTGTGTTTTATCGTTGGGAACAAGTGTACTAAGTTGAACTGAGTTGCTATTTCTATAGATTGTGAAACTATTTCAACGTTATCAGCATTTGCTTATTTAATTTAACTTTTTTGTCATACTCGTTTATGGGCTGACGAGGTGAAAGATCGAATACGAAAGGTGTTTCCCTGCACCAAGAACAGATGTTCTGGGGAAAGTGTCGGTTCATCAATCAACCATTTCAATCGATTTGAGTGTGTAATTAAGATAAGCCTCAAGTAGCCCCACTGCAGTAGTACTTTACCCAAGGGTTTATTGTTTATATTGGCATTGGAAGCTTATGTGCCACTGAATAATCCCCAGTGATTTATTACTGTCACAGAGTTGAGTAATTCATGACGTATTTTGGTTACAAACTCTGATGAATTACGTATTATAATACAGGGGTTAGCTTGCATTTATTATTATTTTTTTGTACACCTCGAGGTGTAGTAGTAATGTGACCTGAAAACACAATATACAAATGTCTAAATACAAAGTACCTCTTAAATAAGTTTTCAAAAATGTTGTCTAATAAAATTCGCTTATAAATAAAATATATTTTATGCTAATCTTCACTAGGTTCGTCTAAGCTGTCCTTGCATATGCAGTATTTCTTGGCATTCTTTTGATTGATGCACTTGGCATCGTTTCTGTACGAGTTCAGCCGACTCAAATCCTCCACTTTTATGGGGGACAACTTCCGGGTGCGATTGTTCCAACGGACAGTGGCCTCGAAAAGAGGTTTCTTTGGCCGCGTCACGAAGGCAATGATGTACACATGTTCGTCCTTATCGGCTGGCTTAAGACCAGTCGACAGGATGTTTTTGCGGTCTGCTCTGTAGATTTTTTTCAAGGTGTAATCGTGGCAGAGATCGGTAAGATTATGGCTCCTTAAATGCTTATTCATCCGCTGAACAATGACTTTGGCAATATTCTTCACATATGGAGCCTTGGTTATGGTTTTCGTGGGCTGACAACAGCACCATTTCTCCTCGATTCCAGCCATTTGGCAAGTGCGATTGAAAGGCAGTTCAAAGAACAGCGACTGGCAGCTCTTGCACTGTCTGGCCTTGAGATTTTCGGGAAAATCATCCATGGATTTGCTATTCAACTGGAGCAAATGCTGCAGGGTCATGTAGAGGTCATAGTTGGAGGACAAGCGATTGCCGTTCGTCTTCAGATTCTTCACCAGATGGGGATATTTGCGTCGAAACCAGGGCGGTACATGGATAAACATCATGGGCAGGCGCTCCTCGTAATACCCTGAGGCGGCACGTCTCAATGTATTATATCGATGGCCGTGATCACTCATCAGAATCACAATCGATTGCCTAAAGAGATTGGACTCCTCGAAGGACTTGAGATACTTCCGGAAGAGCTTGTCCAATGCCGTGGCACCCTCGTAGTAATCGTGGGTGAAGCTATTGCTCCACAGAAATCCAAACATTGGAGCTCTGCCCAGAAAACGATCGATGAACTGCTGGCCAAAGTCCCAGACATAACTGAAGCTGAGACGGCGACCCACGCAGTAGGCAAATCCAAAGTCCCTGGTCACTTTAAACTGTCTTTCAATAGCCAAAAGTAGAGGACGCAGATAGAAATCCGTTGGCTGCTCGACAAAGCCCGGTTTCAGATAGTTAAACGTGGAAATAGATTCACAATCCTCGGCAAAGGCAGTCGTGTAATTGGCATTTTTGAAACGCTTCCAAATGAAGTTCAGTGAGTCCAGGCAGCCCGGCTTTCGAACATCGCAAACATCCTTGACACCCTCTTCCGAATCTCCTGTCAGCACGGCCAAAAGATTAGGAAAGGTATTGTCGCCCACCTTGTTGTATCCCTGCATCTCGATCCATCCGGGTTGGCTAACGAACTCGTAGACCAATGGCATTGCCCGTCGCAGGTTTATCCGCGAGGTGGAATCCAGTCCCATGATCAGGACACTCGGCTTGGGGTTCACACTTTGTTCCATCACAAAATCCCTGACGTTCTCTTCGGTTAGATGATCCTCAACGAACGCTAACGCATCCGATTGCAAAAGCTCTCGATGGTTCCTCACATCCTTCACATAGCAGCTGGTGATCATGAAGTTCGTGTCATTCGGTACAAACTGATGTTGCGTTATGGGGACACTAGCGAACTGACTGAAAGAGGATGAATTTCTATTATTAACAAGGCCTTGTTCATAAAATAATAATTTTATAAATCATAACATATATTTCGACTACCATAATATAGATATCAGATTGCTAAGAACTTTTGTATGTGGGAGGAAAATCGAAGGATCGTGCTTATATTTTTTAAGTGCATTATTTTCTAGTCCACTGTCACATGCTGTGGATTTCTTTTAATAAGTTTTACTAGAATTTGTATACTTACTCGTAGGTTTCATCGGGTTGCTTGTCGTAGTTATTCCGCGATATCTCTTGATATTCGCACTGCAAAGTAGCGTTTCCCTTTGACTTGAGAATGGGTTTGGCCAGGTGCTCGTGTATATGCAACCTGTATTGATGTGTCTCGAAATCAAATTCACTTGTCACCATATCGCTGTCGTTGTGGCATTGTCGCATATTTAGCCTGTGGAAGTCACTCATTGTATCCCGGGTAAAGGGATCCACAAAGGGCATCTTGCATACCGGACTATTTACGTAATATTTAGTCTCCCCCCGAACATTGCTGTCAAGCCAATAGCATAGACATATTAGAACCAAAAACACTTGAAGATCCTTACAAATCCGATTCATTATTAAAACTAGTTGAAACACTTTCAGTTTACTTAAAAGATTCGGTTCATAATTGTTTTTTAAACGTTTAGTGAAGAAAAATAGTGGTTTTTCAATCTCTGTCCCTCTCATTAGTCATACTTGGCCTAGTGATAAATTACTTTAGATATGGTTTTTTTTTAGTGATGTTTGTATGTCTAAGATTTGTATCTAAACGAACTATTGTTTTGAATACTCTTATGGTTATTCGAAATTAAAACCTTTTAAAATTATTAAAATCATTACAATTTTTTTTTTTGTTTTTTTATTTATTGACATCAAAATGCATTGAAATCAGTGATGCCAACGTACTTTATTAGTCACATCTCTGATATCTCTTTCTTCTGTTCATTCTAATCCCATTCAGAGTAAGCGACCAGAGGGTTTACCGCCTGGGTATCCGATCGACGACCGTCTGGGCTGTTGCCGTTTTCTGCTGGATTAATGATCGTGTTTTCTGCGAGGCCTGGTCGTCGATCAATTTTCCGTACCTGCACGGCTTCTGGCACATATTCATATTCATCGCAGCGTATACGGTGTTGGTGCTGTTTGCCTATTTCTACGTGGAATCAGAACTGCCCCAGCGGCAGCCATTGCTAAAGTACTGGCCGAAGAACGAGTTCGAGTTCGGGATACCCTTCATATCGATCAGGAATCCAGGTAAGGCCCTGCGCAACACCATCTAAAGGCGATACCGGAGTGGAGAGAGTGAGCTGAGAGCTGAGTGCTGAGGGCAGAGAAATGACCAAAGACCAAAAGCGATAATATCGTAAATTTGCTTTAAAACCATAACCAAATATTGTAAAATTGCAGACATGTGACGCACAACTTTTTTATATTAGCCATAGATATATTTATATAGCAAAACGAATTGGATTCGCGGTTGTATCTGAAGAGATAAGTCTGTTAACGCATTAAGATTCGTTGCACCTAAAAACTTAGGGCTATACCAAATAATAGAAGAGCTTTGCTTAGTCCCTAGATGGACAATTGCTCAATGTAGATAAAAAAAAAGACATATCCAAAAAAAAAGAAGGAATCCATACCAAAATTAGTATTTTACCTAGCCTTTCCAATGAGTTTAATCAAAGTCTTCTTAATTGTTCGTTGAGTATCTGTTACCATCAGACTGTGATAAGTTGTGAACTAATTCATCCCATGACTTCCAGAACAAACAGTTCCTACGCTTTCCCCCAAAGACAAGCAATTTTATTAGGTTGTCAGTACCTGAATGTTACGTTTCTTTTGTGGCTAATGTTCTCTCCAATCTTTGCTTGCTAACAACCTAACACACACTAATTCTTGATTAAAACGCTACTAATCACAACTAAACAATAAACTAAACTAAACAAAGTAGATCATTGCTCGAAATATGATAAAATTGCAAATTATCCTAACCGCTACCTTGCTGATCCCACAGATTCAAAAGATTGGCTCGACTACTGCAGTTTGTACATGCAGGATAATGACTACAAGTTCGGAAAAAACTAATGCAAGATTTCAGGTGATCAGGCTCCCTGAGTGGAGCCTTCTCCAAACATAGACATACACAGCGTGATATAAGTTAGTTTTGCAGAAAAATAAATACCTAACAAATGTACACAATAACCTAGCCGTTAAATAGCTTTTCCGCAGAAAAGCGGAAACCAAATTATTATAACCCACAATGTATAGCTGCCATACATAGAGCGTTACGTTAGGAAATATGATTTACTTATTTTAATTATTGTCAACAAATGTACTGCATAAAAATATGCAATTTTAGTTTATCACAATAAATATTTGAAATAAATTCATAATTTGACTGTTTGTAATTTTCTTGTTTTTTCTTGTTTTTCTATGCGATTTTGTGGGTGAGTATCTTCTTTTTATCCCAATCTAACAATATTTTGAAGCTGGAATCGAGCCGAATCTGACAAATTTTGCCTTTATAATCGAGTTAATTGGTCAAGGATTTCCTATGATTATTTGGTCATTCTCGAATTACGAATTGCGCTGGCCAGATCCTAGACATCTCTTTATAAATGGAACTTAATTGGTTTGCAAACTGTGATTGAATTAAGCCATTGGGTTGATTCAATTTGATTTAATTTAATTACCATGATCACTTTGACAGGCTTCAAATGTTTGCAGACGGGTAAGGGAGGCAAACACATAAGTCCAATGAATAAAATATAACATATTTATTGATAAGAATATAATTTATAACACAATAATTAAACTATTTGCAAAGTTTCAGTTCCAGCATTTAGCCCTGGCGAATTCATTTAAAAATCCAGACAATATATAAATGCAAATAGATTGTAATAATTTGAATAATCTAACAAAATGACTCCAAGTTATTATTTCCATTTCCGTTTATTTCAATTCAAAATAAAAAAAAACCCGCGCGAAAGCTGATAGCCGATAATTTTTAGAGATGTCGGAACTGGTTCCGATAACTCTAGTATTAGATACCAGGGATTCAGTAGTTCCAGTTCAAAAATATTCAATTGCAATATCAGTTAATAAATAGTTCGGCTATTCCCTAATACCCTATTCCTTAAAATATCGAAAACGAAAATGCATCATCTTCTACCCTATGCTAAAAGGACGAAGTTTTGTTTTTAGTTCTAGTGTAAAATGACTTTAAGTTTCTGCAAGGCTCAACAATTATGTACTTCTCATTAGATCGCTTTGCTCATACAATTAGTAGTAAAATTAAATTTACACCAAAATGCATAGATGCAGTCGAAGTGTAACGTGTCTTAAATCAAACGAAAAATATCGATATTGCCAGATTTTTGGAAACATCGATACTATCGAATAACCATCGTGTTATGTTCCAGCTCTAATTGCTTTGTTGTTGCGTTTTGTTTTTGCTTGCGTGCGGTTGACCCGCGGATAGTTTTCGTAGAAAACTCGCTGAGAAAATGCAAACTGAGGCGAGATAAAGGAAAACTGCCCACCGATAGGCATTGAAAGTGTGAACAAAGCAAAGGAAAATCAGCAAAAACAAACGAACAACGACAACAATTAGCGAGCGAATAAATATCGTTGAATTTTCCGAAACAACAATATCAACAACAACGAAGGCAGCCACAACAAAAATTTAACTCAATTAAAAGAAAAGGCAACAAGGGGAAATGCAATTGAAATGCAAAGAACATTTATGAAAAGTGCCGATGTATTTGCGTGGAAATGGAGCGATTTGTGATTGCAGCGTTTTTCTTGTCTTGTGTTTTCCGCTGCCAAAAAAGTGTGCGCAGGAAAATCGCTGACAATTCGTAAAGAGGGAAGCGAAAATTCGGTGGAAAATTCAATACAAAAACGCGGAAAACAAAAACACAAGAAAAATAACAGAGAGAGAGAGAGAGACAATAAATATCTTTTGTGTTTGTGTGGGTGTGTGCGTGTGCAAAAGAAGATCAAAGCAAAACGACAAAAACAACAATAACACACAGCTGACTTCCTCTCTCTTTTCTTCCTGCATACACTGTTCAAAAAAAAATAGTAATTACATAAAATAATGCAAGTACCAGCAGTCACTTTAAAAACCAACAACGACTACTTCCAAACGCCTGCTTTTAAACTAGTCAACAAAAACATACAACTAATAACAAATACTAAAAAACACATATCCCAAAATCGACAAAATAAAAATAATTAAAATTCTGATCAACAAAGTAATCTAGTAGCCGAAAGCAAACCCAAATTAAGTTGTTTAATTAAAATTAAAAAAGTAATACATCACAATGGATTGGATCATCAACGATGAGATGGGCCTTACGGTGGGTCATGTGGTCGGATGGGCAGCCGCCTCTGCAATGGTGATCGGGGGCGTAATCCCCTACGTTCCCCAATATATCGAGATCAAGAAGACGCAGGACGCGGAGGGATTCTCACTATATGTGTGCCTAGCTCTGCTGGTCGCCAACTCGCTGAGAATACTTTTCTGGTAAGTAATACAAATATATTCTCATACTGTAACTAGCACAGAAAGTTTAAAATCAGACTCCTTATGTCATGGAAAAATTACCAAATTACTTGGAAACTCTATAAAACTGATAAATAATTAACTACTAATTTTTATTTAATAAAAAAAACACTAAATCAATACAAAATTTTAGCAAATTACAAATTTTCAAAAAAGAAACCTAAACAATAATGTTTTGTGTAATGTAAATAATAAATTCTGGCAAAAATAGTAGTTTTCAGCAATAAATCAATCATGAAAGAAAACACGAATTTTTATTGCTGGTGCTTATTTCCTTTTGACTGCACAATGTACATCCTATTTTTATGTGCAGTATAATACAATCAAAGGAGAATAAACACCTGCAATGTTTTCCTTCATTTTTATATCTATTGTGGCGCCCAAATGATGTATATTTGACAAGACTGCATTTCCATAGAATGGAATTTAAATTTCAGAATGGTATTCTATATCAGGAATTATTAGACTTACAAATTTTTAGGTACCGGCAAGCTCTATCTAAGTAAACGCCTTCCCATTTTTATCTCGCCCCCAATAGGATGACTAAACCCACCTCGTATCTTGGCTTATCTGGGCGTAATTCAAACCGCTTATCGCCCGGAATTCTCTCCGTCCGTCGCGACATTATACGATTCCCACCTCTTGAGAGCCCCTATCTGTGGATAGCATTGTCATGATTTCTAGTCGATTTCGCAGACCTTATAATTCCACAAAATGTCCAAGGACAATTGAACTGGTTTATCTTTATTGCGTTGGTTGCGTTATAATGTTTGGCATAATGTCACCGATAATCGCTATTTTCGTTGGGGTTTATGGCATTTATTGGAAGATTTATCAGACTATCATGCTGATTTGGGAATGATTCCGGGTGAACTGTGTCGGAGGATTGATAAAGAGTATTACCCCCAGCACGATCGGAATTTGTGTTTATGGTACTCGATATATGAAATCAAAATGGGTGAACTCAGCATTCGTTATTCCACCCCACGTTCCGTACTTTCAAGAACCTTAAAAGGTTTTAATATTGTAAAACTGTTATTTAAAAAAAAACAAAGAGGGTGAAATCGATTCAACAATGGATCTGTCTACCTCCCATAAAAAGGTGATTCATCATTTAGGAGAGTGAAAGATATAAATCAAAATTAATAAAATACATTTTTAATTCAATTTGAGTGAGTGTGCGAAATAGCTTTCAAAATATGTCACAATGCCATTCAAACCTGTGAAAGTGTTTCAGAAATTGTTTATTAGGAACATACTTTGGTATTTAGTCCAAAATATCTACTTATTGTGACTTTGTTCCAACGGAATTATACTGCTTTTGAGAGTAGCAACTCCAACTTGCCTTTATAACCAGGGTCAACTACTTTTGCCCAGCTGGTTTCTGTATGTTTTCAGTTTGTTTGTGTTTACCCCGTTTAAAGCTGCTTCTGCTATGCGTTTTTTAAGAGCCAACGCTTCCTATAAATAAATTATTAACAAGGCGATTGGAACGTGAACAAAAAAAAAATAATATAGAAGCAACTGGTGGCCCTCGTCTATAACGACGCCGTCAAATTGTCTGGCCTGGGTGGCAATCAATAAATTAATTATTTAGCTTGAAACTGTTGCCGGCAAGTAAAGTGAATCAGCTGTGCAACGAGGCTTTCCGCCCAATAGTCCCGATACAATATACTTTATATATAGATGTTTACGGGCTTGTGGAAAATTCTTTGTGGGGAGGCATTTTACTTGACACGCGATGAATTTTTCACTGGGTTTTGTGAATAAAAACAGCTTGGGGGGTTAAGCAATGTATTAGGAAATAGTTTTTGAGACCAGAACAATAAGCGGAAGTAAATAGTATTTTCCTTTCGTTTTTTTTCATGCACAATAATTATTATACCCTTGCAGAGGGTATTATAATTTCAGTCAGAAGTTTGCAACGCAGTGAAGGAGACATCTCCGACCCTATAAAGTATATATATTCTTGATCAGCATCACTAGGCGAGTCGATCTAGCCATGTCAGTCTGTCCGTCTGTCCGTCCGTCTGTCCGTCCGTCTGTCCGTCTGTCCGTCCGTTTATATGCAAACTAGTCTCTCAGTTTTAAAGCTATCTGCATGAAACTTTCCCAAAAGTTGTCTTTCTATTGCAGGTAGTATATAAGTCGGAACGAGCCGGATCGGACGACTATAGCATATAGCTCCCATAGGAACAATCGGAAAAATAAATGAAAAAAATTATAACTTTGCTGTTTTTTAATTTTTTGTTTAGTTCTTCGACATTTAGTAATGGTTACATATTTCCGATTTACGGTTTAAATTTCATCAAAGTCGGACGACTATATCATATAGCTCCCATAGGAACAATCGGAAAAATAAATGAAAAAAAATTATAACTTTTCTGTTTTTTAATTTTTTGTTTAGTTCTTCGACATATAGCAATGGTTAAATATTTCAGAATTATGGTTTAAATTTTATCAAAATCGGACGTCTATATCATATAGCTTCCCTAGAAATAATAAAAATATATAAAATAACTATCAAATAATTGAGCTGCAAATCATCATAGCTTCAATGTTTTTAAACATATACGAAAGTAAATCATAATTTTAATGTTTTCAAAAATGTTTAATTCTTGCAATAGCTGCAAGGGTATATGAACTTCGGCTTGCCGAAGTTTGCTTTCTTTCTTGTTATTATTCTGACTAATCGCTGCAATATGGATAAACCCCCCTCAGACACCCACACTCTCATTTATTGCCATCCTGTTAGTTAAGTGCAACTGGCAATTTGTGCAAAA